TTGAGATCAGAGTCTCATAAGACTCTTCTGCCCAAGCTAGCTTTGAACCATGACATTCACATCTCAGCCTCTTGAATAGCTGGATTTACAAGTATGAGCCACATGTGCCCAGACTTCCCCTCATTCTTGATTGTAGTCTGTATAGCTCTGTCTGGAATCTGAGGTTCCATTAGTGCTGAAACCAATCTACCTCAGGGTTACTCTTAATTCAGATTTTAAGGTGCCTTACAGAAGAGCATGCTTTGTAAAACAGCATGCTATTGTTGGAAATAGGGTTACAGTTCAGGTGTAGGCCTAAGCAAAGGGCAAGACCCTGTCTTGCAAAAAATAGGCTGAAAGTGTGGCTGACTGCTTAGCAAGTATGAGGCCTGACTAAAACTAACATCATTCTAGGCTTTCTCACTAATGAATTCAGAGGTTTGAAGAGTCATTTTTTTGTTGCCTAATTAAAAACTAACTCTAATCTAGATTACTTTTATGTGTAACAGAAGATACATGTTGTGCACTTCACACACAATTGTGAGATTTTGTAAAGCTACATTCAGACCTCACTGAGCCTCAACTAGAAAAAAGGAAAATGCCCAGAGCCTGGACTCCTGAGGCAGTGGCACTGGTGTCACCATTAGTGGCAGAATGATCACCCATGGAGATGAAGAAATTGAGAATGAAGTTTAGTTGAAAGGGAGATGGATGGGTTATGGTTGTCAGAGCATCTTGCAAACCACATACATAAGAATAAGCTGTGTGTAATTCAGAATGCCTGCAGAGGGGAACATGGTTCCAATATGTATGGGTGACTTCCACCTGGGAAGTGGTATGTTCAAAGGCAAAGCAGCACATCGCAGGCATGTTTTGAGTAGAGGCTCCATTCATTTAAGAGTTGTAACTTTTCAAGGCTCCCACTTTCCCATTCCCACGGTGACTTTGTTGGACTTTGGGAACTCCTTCCATAGCATTTTAATACTTAAAACAGTAAATGCCAAGCAGTTATTTCTCCAGATGCTATTAGTTTCCCTGTTATTTGTCTTTTTATCATATGGCTACCTTTCAATAAAGCCCATCCCCCTGGTTTTTGCTGGTTAATTAAAGATAAGAATGCCAGCCACTAGTGGCTCGCACCTGTAATCTTAGCTACTCAGGAGGCTGACATCTGAGGATCATAGTTTGAAGCCAGCCTGGGTTGGAAACTTTATCTCCAAATAACTTTTATCTCCAATTAACCAGTAGAAAATTGGAAGTGGCACAGTGGCTCAAACTGGTAAAGTGCTAGCCTTGAGTGAAAAGCTCAGGTACAGCACCCAGACCCTGAGATCAAACCTTAGAACCAGGAAAAAAGAAAAAAGAAAAAAAAAAGCATCGCACAGATTTTCTGTTTAAGCTGGCTTCAAATTGAGATCATGAGATCTCAATGTCCTGAGTAGGATTACAAGCATGAGCCATGACAACTAGCAAAATCCTCCTTGTTAAAATAAAATTGGGAATTTTACACAGCCATTAGAAAGAATAATATTATGTCAATTGCAGTGAAATGGATGGACCTAGAACAAATAGTGTTAAGTGAGGTAAACCAAATTCAGAGAGACAAATGGTTCATATTTTCTCTCATACATGGAAACTAGATCTAAAATACCCAGGACATAATAAATTATACAGGTCTCTAGGCATTCACATACAGTGAAACCAAAAGAAGATACTCGTGGAAGAGGAACAGAAAGGCACAGTGCTTATGTGCATCTAATCATACAAAATAATATTTATCAAAATTAACTCCAGGAAAAAGAAACGAGGTTTTTTTTTTCTTTTTCTTTTTTTTTTCTTTTCTTTTTGTCCTGTTTATTTATATGTTTTTGGGAGTATAAGGGAGGCAGAGAAAGTAAACAAATGCAGCAATGGTACTCACTGGACATTATGTTGAAAATGAACTATACAACTTGTGATGGGAGGGAAAAACTGGGAGAGAGTGAGGGAAGGGGTAACATTGTCCAAAAAGGAATTAATCTTTACTCGAGTTATGTAACTGTAACCCTTCTGTACACCACCTTTATAATAACAAAAAGAAAAAACAAAATAGGAAAAGCAGAGAAAAAATTAAAATAAAATTAATTTCATTTAAGTTTTGTTTCCAAGTAATGAAGAGTACTATTTAATACTATTTAACTCAACATCCTTTTCTGCTTTAATTCTACCCATCTGCATTCCCACATACAAGGCTGTCTCCACTCTAAGTTTCTCTTTACCGCAGTGAAGTGATGTTAGATGATACTGCCTTGCTCAGCAAAGCCTCGCTGTCCCTGCTCTGGCTTTCAGGGCAGGGAACTCTATCCAAGCAAGTGGCTTTAGGATTACAGTAGAAGAAGGCAGATACATGAACCAAATCTAGGAAGTTTAAAGATTTGTCCAAAACCCAGAAGAAGAAGAAAAAAACAAGTGATTAAGTGGTTTATAGCTGTTATCATAAATCATTGTGATGTAATGCAACATAAACCTTTTGTAATCTCAAAGGAACAGAGCCATTTGTCAAGTGTCATAAGAACACTTGAAAGATCCATTTTCATTGCTTAGTTAACTGGCTTATTATTAACTGGCTTAATTATATTTGGATTAGGAAAATGGGAAGCACAGAATAATTGTCTTCATGAAAATCAACGACTGGAACTATTGATAATTAAATCAGCAAAGTGAATGGAGACTACATAAACTTGCCACAGTAGACTTTAATGGTTCATTTTCTATAGCTTTAGTTAGTCAGAGTCAACAGGGTCCAAAAATAACAAATGGCAAATTCTCAGGAGGCTGGGATTTGAGGATTGTAGTTTGAAGCCAGCCTGAGCAGAAAGTCCTATGAGAATCTTATCTACAATTAACCATGAAAAATCCAGAAGTAGAGCTGTGGCTCAAAGTTGTAGAGTGTCAGCCTTGATTGAAAAACTAAAGGATAGAATAAGGTCCTTAGTTCAAGTCCCAGTACAAGCACAAAAAACAAAGAAGAAGGCTGGGAAGGTGGTTCAGTGGTAAAGTGCTTGCCTTGCATGCATGAGACCTTGGGTTTAATTCTTCAGCACCACATCAGCGGAAAAAGAGGAAGTGCTGCTATGGCTCAAGTGGTAGCGCACTAGCCTTAGTATGAAGAGCTGAGGGACAGCGCCCAGGCCCAGAGTTTAGGCCCCCACGACATACAAAAAAAAAAAAAAAAAAAATGAAAGAAAGAAAGAGGGGGAGAGAGAAAGAGAGAGAAGAGAGAACAAATAAAGAAAATTCCAGAAACAATTCATAAACTTTGAATAACTCTCAAGTATGATTATAATTTTTCTACTTTATTATTAGTTGTTGTTATTAATCTTTTGTTGTGCCTAACATATAAATTAAACTTTATATATGATAAAACCCAGTATATATTAGATTCAGTACTATTTGTGGTTTCAAGCATCCACAGAGATGCCTGGGTTTCAATATCCACTGGGTTTCAATATCCACTAGGATATTTAAATGTACTGCATAGATAAAGGAAGACTACTATAAATCCCTTTGAAATAGCATTGTTTTAATAAAGCAGCTAGCTTAACAGGCTAGATAAAGCTGTTTTCAAAACTCTAATTCACTCTCTATGTGGTATGATTTAGATAAGGTGTGAGTGAGTCCCTACGGATCATGTGCTGGAAATTTGGTGCTCAGTGTGAAGATGCTGAGTTGGGGAACCTCCTAAGAAATGAAGGCTGGGGGGAGGGGGGCTGGGAAGGTGGCTCAGTGGTAGAGCACTTGCCTTGCATCCTCAAGGCCCTGGGTTCGATTTCTCAGCACCACATAAGCAGAAAAAAAAAGCTGGAAGTAGTGCTGTGGCTCAAGTGGTAGAGTGCTAGCCTTGAGCTGAAGAGCTGAGGGACAGTGCCCAGGCCCAGAGTTAGGCCCCACGACCGGACCCCCAAAAAAACAAACAAAAGAAATGAAGGCTGGGGCTAGAAGGTGGCTCAGTGGTAGAGCGCTTGCCTTGCATGCCTGAGGCCCTGGGTTCGATTCCTCAGCACCACATAAGCAAAAAGAAAAAAGCCAGAAGTGGCGCTGAGCCTTGAGCTCTTCATCCTTGAGCTGAAGAGCTGAGGGACAGTGCCCAGGCCCACAGTTCAGGCCCCACAACCAGACCCCCCCCCAAAAAAAAAGAAAAAAAGAAATGAAGGCTGATGGATAGTGATTAGGTCATGGTGGGTACCAGTTGCAAGGAACTTAATGTAGTTCTCATAGTATTCCAGTTAGTCCATGAAAGAGTGGGTTTCTATAAAAAGTGAAAAACTGGTTCCTGAATCTCTTTGACCTCCTATCATGCCAAAGTGATCACTCTGCACGCTTATTTCCTTTGTTTCTCCACCATGTTCTGACACAGCCAGTGGGACCTGGCTACTGTTGCTCTTGAAACACTGGACAAAGCCAAATAAACCTTTTTTAAAAAAAATATTATACCCAGACTCAGGTATTCTGAAATAACCGAGACAGACACCAGGTAAAAGATTTCCATGACCCATTGTCACTAGATGTCAGTGCTTAAAAGTGCTCCTATATATGTCTTAGAACAAAATAGTTAATTATATAAGATTAGACTATATCCTTATGTTAATACAGAACTAAAACAAACATGAGTGCTATGGGAAAATATCTAGAATTATAATGATAATTTTCTGTGTGAAAATTACTAAAACAATGTTGATAGTAATGATCAGAAGAATAATGAGAAAGGCAACAATAAGAGTAACAAACAATATAGCCAAAGACATCTAATGTTGGGGATGCACCTGTGTGTGTTAAAGAATGGAAAATTTGGTTTTAATATTTATCATCAGATTTGCATTCTTTTCCCTTAAACCCACTCCAGTTGAATAATGCCATACGGACCACCACAAGTGATGAGTCCTCAACTTACTACTCTGACAGCACAAATAATAGCACAGGTTCATAAGCAATCAGGAATGGAGGATACAAACTACATACACAAAACTGTAAATGAATCTTACCTAATATCTGAGAGGTCACATTTGTTACCAGCAATAGCCATTACAATGTTTTCTGGACCATGTTCTTTTAGCTCTTTAACCCATTTCTTCAAGGTATGAAATGAATCCTAAATGAAAAGTTAAAATGAATCACTAAAATGGTTGTCTTATAATACTTCAACCAACTAGAAATACAAACCCCATCTAAGCCAGGTGCTGGTGGCTCATGCCTATAATCCTAGCTACTCAGGAGGCTGAGATCTGAGGACCACAGTTCAAAGCCAGCCCGGGCAGAAAAGTCCATGAGACTCTTATCTCCAGTAAACCACCAGAAAACTGGAAGTGGTGCTATGGCTCAAGTGGTAGAGTGTTTGCCTTGAGCTGAAAAGCTCAGGGGCAGCATTCAGGCCCGGAGTCCAAACCCCACAACCAACAACAACAACAAACATAACTTAATGAAGAAAAATATGGAATTATTTTAACAGAAATAACAGAAAAGGCTGGGCATGGTGATACAAGTCTTCACAGATCTAACTGCATTCTCATAAAGAGGGGGAATCAGTACAGGCTGGCCTAGACAGAAAAGAAAAGAGAAAACACAAACAAAAAATGCCCTAGGAGAAATGTAGTTAGTCTTAGCTAAGCTGGAGTTAGCCTGTATAATATTCCTTTTCTGAGCTGGGCACTGGTGGCTTATGCTTGTGAACCTAACTACTTAGAAGGCCAAGATCGGGAGGATCACAGTACCAGGCCAAACTGGACAAAAAAAGGTTTATGAGCTGCCCATCTCAACAGGAAAGCTGCATGGGCAATGCCACATGCCTTCATCACAGCTAGGACAGTAAGCTGACTGAGGTCCAGACTGGCCTTGTCTAAAAATCAAACAAACAACACAAAAAAGCATGAGAGGGCTGGGAAGGTGGCTCAGTAGTACAGCGCTTGCCTTGCATGAATGAGGCCCTGGGTTCGATTCCTCAGCACCACATAAGCAATAAGAAAAAAAGCCGGAAGTGGCACTGTGGCTCAAGTGGTAGAATGCGAGGCTTGAGGTGAAGAGCTGAGGGACAGTGCCCAGGCCCAGAGTTTAGGTCCCACAACTGGACCCAAAAAAAAAAAAAAAAAAAAAGCATGAGATCCTTCATGCTGATTGAAGGCATGGCTTAGGGATGAAATACCTGCCTAGCAAGTAAAAAGCCCTGAGTTCAAACCCTAGTACTGCTACAAAAATGTTTTAAAATATTTCACAATTAAAATATGATGAAGTTTGTTGAAAATAAACTATACAACTTGTGGGTAGGGGTGGGAAGAAAAAATCAGGAGAGAGTGAGGGAAGGGGGGACATTGTCCAAAAAGAAATGGACTCATTACCTGACATATAACTGTAATCCCTCTGTGTGTGTATAACAAAAAAAAGATGAAATTTAAAAAACTGCATTTGTAATTCTCTTTTACAAGCAACATTACTTAAAAAATCATAGCCTTCAGTCTCCAAGGATAGCGGGATGCACAATGTGCATTCCTATGTCGGAAAGGAAATGCACCTGTTTGGAATCCTGTCTTCCTCTTTGGCCCTTCCCTTGCAGCCGCCTTCCAGGAGGGAGGCCAAGGTGGGTATCACCCTAGTGAGAGGCAGTCAGGATTTGTAGAAGGCCTCACCAATGGCTCACTCAGCTAACAGTCATGAGCACTGAGTCATCTCTCCAAGGAAAAACAAAATAGGTCATCAGGCTCTGGTGGCTTTTGCCTATAATCCTAGCTACTCAGGAGTCTGATATCTGAGTATTACCATTTAAAGAGAGTTCAAGCAGGAAAATCTGTGAGATCTTATCGTTGATTAACCATCAAAAAGCTGGAAGTGGCGCTGTGGCTCAAGTGATAGATCATTAGCCTTGAGAACAAAAACTCAGGGATAGTGCCCAGGACTGTCACAGGAAAAAAGGAATTCAATGTGCCTGAATGCAGTAAATGTCACAAAGCCATTGTATTTATTTTTTTATGAATATTTTAGAGGCTTTCTACAAAATTAACAATACATTTCTATTACATATAACCAAGCCCCTCATTTGAAGGGAGCTCATCTGTAGCTCCTCAGTAGATTCCTGAAACCCAGCCCTATCTACACTATCTTTTATCTTTGTATACATGCCTATGCAAAAGTTAAATTTATAAGTCAGGTACAGTAAAAATGAACACTAGTAACAAAATAGAGTAACTATAATATTGCATTATGACTTGTTTGCTTCCAGAATTCCCCATTTAATATTTTTGGATAGCAGTTGACCTTGAGTAACTAAACCCATAGAGAGTAAAATTAAAGATGAAGAGGACAACTGTATACACACTCACACATATAATATTTTCCTTGGCCTTTTTTGTGTGTGTTGTGTGTGCCAATCCTGGGGTTGAACTTGGTAGGTAGTAAATGCTGTCCCTTAGCTTTTTGCTCAAGGCTGGCACTCTACCACTTGAGCCACAGATCCAGTTCAGGTTTTGTTTTTTTCCTTTGGGTGGCTAACTGGAGATAAGAATCTTATGGTTTTTACTTCCAGATTGACTTCTAACAGTGAGCCTCAGATCTCAGCATCCTGAGTAGGTGTGAACCATCAGTGCCCAGCTGTCCTTGATCTTTAAATAGAGTCAACTGAACTACTCACAGAAAAAATAATAAACACCCATAACTTAAAATAATTTCATTTTTTTCTTGAAAAGCTGACTTCTGGAGAACAGCAGTGACAGTCATGGCCTTGTCTCCATAAACAATCACTTAAAAAAAAAAAAAAAAGAATACTCACTGCTGCTTGCCTAACAGAGTAGATAATGGGTACTTGGTTTTACAGGGGTGAACACATCAGTATGTAGCCTTCCTTCCCCCCCCTGCCCCCCCCTCCCCGTGAGATGCTATTCCAGGCTACTGATGAATATCAAGCAGTGATGGGTCTGTTTCGATCTTTCTGAGTCCATCTCCACAAAAGCATCTGAGTTCTAAGGGGGATACCTTACCTGTTTGGTGATATCATATACTATAACAGCTGCAGCAGATCCGCGATAGTACATGGGCGCCAGGGAATGAAACTGTAAGAACAATGAGCAGGGTTAGGCCACAGTGAATACACAGATTTTCAGCAATCTCCGAGTAAATACTATATTTGTATTCTATATCATCCCTACAGGATCTCTAAATTTTTCTTTGGATTCGTCTATATTAAACCATAAATTTTATTCCCCAAGGACACAAGAAGGCTCTTGTAGTTTACAGATCATAAAAATCTCCTTTCGAGCAAAAACCATAAACAAATTTTGCTTTATTTTATTTTATTTTTTATATTTTTGTTAGTCCTGGGCTTGAACTCAGGGCCTGGGCACTGCTTCTGCGCTTCTTTTGCTCAAGACTAGCACTCTACCACACTTGAGCACTTGAGCCACAGTACCACTTCTGGCTTTCTCTGTTTATATGGAACTGAAGAATCGAACCCAGGGTTACATGCATGTTGTGCAAGCACTCTACCACTAAGACATAATCCCAGCCCCAAATTTTACCTTAAATCCTATGAATTTTCTACTCTCTACTGCTCATCATTTATTGAATCAACCTCAGGCTGTCTCAGAATTATACAGCAATAAGAAAAGACACATTTTAAGGGGATAAACAATGCCAGCAAAGCCACTGACCCTGCCCCATCCTTGGCCCTGCCCAGCACAGCCAACCACCTCCTCTTCCACCCTTGGTCTGACTGGTAGAGCTTCTCCCCTACAGGAGGTCAGCCAGTGACGTGCCTTGGGTGTACTTCATTCCAAAACCTGACCACTGGTAGCACTGGGTCCTGGACTTTCACCCCAACAGGATAAGTGTTCTCAGAACATGTATATTTTGTGTTTTCAAAAGTGTTCATTCTTGGCTTTATTTTTATTTTCTTTTTGGTGTCCATCCTGGGGCTTGAACTCAGGGCCTGGGCTCTGTCCCTGAGCTTTTTTTTTTTTGTGTGCCCTAAATCAAGGCTAGTGCTCTACCACTTGAGCCACAGCTTCACTTCCAGCTTTTTGGTGGTTAACTGGAGATAAGAGTCTTCTTGAACTTTCCTGTCCTGGCTTTATACCACCATCCTCTGATCTCAGAGGATGTGTGAGCTAGGATTATAGTTGTGAGCCATTGGTGCCTGGCTTCTTTATTTTTTTTTTAATTCAAAAACATCATAGAAGGGTTTGAAAGTCCATTAAGAGAGGATAACTCACTACAGAATGGATAAACAATTTACACAAAGAAAAGTACAGTGGAAGAAGTGTAAATTATCAGTAGATGTTCAATTAACATAAAAAATTGACAATTTAAAAAAAAAATGAGGCAACTATTTGTTAAATACTAAGAGTTCTGCCAGGTACTGTTGGTCTGCAAACCAGGAAATAAGCCTTCACCAGATACTGAATCTGCCAGCACCCTGATGTCGGACGGACTTCCCAGGCTCCTTAACAGTGAGGGATACAGGTTTGTTGCTTATTCAATCAATAGCATTTTGATATGAGAGAGAGAGAGAGAGAGAAAGAGAGAGAGAGAGAGCATGTTTGTGTGGTAAAATATCCCATAATTATTAAAATAATGAAGATTTTTATGTATAGGAAGAGATATAATTAGCTGGGTTCTAGTGGCTCACAAGTATAATCCTAGCTACTTGGAGACTGAGATTTGAGGGCTACAGTTCCAAGCCAACCTGGAAAGAAAAGTCTTTGAGACTCCTATCTCCAATTAACCAGCAAAAAGCCAGAAGTGAAGATGTGGTTCAAGTGGTAGAGTGCCAGCCTTGAGCAAAAAGTCAAGTGAAAGCATGAGGCCCTGAGTTCTAGCCCCAGTATGGCTACAAAATAACAACAAAAAAATACTGAAGTCATGCACCAGTGGCTCATGCCTATAATGCTAGCTACTCAGGAAGATGAGATCTGAGAATCATAGTTCAAAGCCAGCTTGGAAAGAAGTCATCATGAGACTCTTATCTCCAGTTAACCACTCAAAAACTGTAGCTCAAAGTGGTAGAGCAAAAGAGTTTAGGGACAGTGCCCAGTCCCTGAGTTCAAGCCCCACAGCTGATCAAAAAAAAAAAAAAAAAAGGATACTGGACCTCCCATTAAATGAAAAAGTAGTCTCGAGGCAGCATATGTATAAAACATGTATAGTAGTCTGTCTCTGTGTGAGAATCACATGACAAAATGTCAATGGTAGGATGAGTAATTGAAATACATTCTTTATAAAACTGTATAGTATAAATTTTTACATATTTTAAGTTAAAGTTCAAAAGCAGCCTTAAAAAAAAATTGGGATGTGTGAGAGGGTTAAAAGAGGAAGGATATAGATCCCAAAGCTTTTCTAACAAACAACAGAATCATACTCATTCATTTTATTTCCTACTGGATACATCTCATTGATTAAATACTTGCCAAATGGAAGTGACCAACTTGGAAATTTGAGGCCTATGGTCAACTAAGGAATACGAATACTGGAGAGAAACTCACAATAGAGAGAAGGAAGCAGGCAATCCCCAGGATATTCATGCAAGTCTTTCCCATGAAGAAAAATCACCCTGGAACCTCTATGGTCTTCAGAAAAAGAAAGAATCTGCTAAGCTCAGACTGGACCAAGAAGCTCACAGCTGAACCAGGCAGTGGCCAGGATGCTGACAGGTCTTGGCTATGCCACTCTCCTCTGCCCAAGAAATGTCACTCAATTATCTCATGGGAGCATGATGCCCATTTTCCATGTGTGCCTTTCCATGTTCACTGACTGGCCCACCCCTGTGCTTGTCATAAGCACTAACCTTCCATAAATTCATGTGTAGTCCAGCCTTTGGCAATCCATTCCTCACACATCAAAAACAATCTGAACTCCTGCCCAAAAGGGAAAAAGCAATATGCCTTGAAACACTGCTGTTTTGCTAAGGGTAGGGAGTGTATATAAAGTATCCTTTCAACCCAATGATACAAAATGGCAATTCTTTTAAACATAGCTTCCATGTAAGGAAGAGAGTCAGTATAGACTTTATTTCTTTAAAACCAAGACACTAGAGACTCAAACACCAGAGAAGCAAACTGCGGATGTCGCTCTGCACAGAGTTCCTTTCAGGCTCTGATGCCATATACTGCATCTCAAATGGCTAGTGATGTGCAGGTCTCATGAATTATTGAAAATATCTCTGTTCATGATGCATTACCCATTCTTCCTTCCTCCAAATGGAATCACTTTGAAATAAATCTGTTGGTGAAACCATTTAGAGGACTTTATTTCTGGAGATGTGGAGCTTTTAATGAGTTGAAAGTTCATACCTAAATTCCAGACTCAATAATGCATTGACCAATACTAATATTTATAGAGGACAAAAAGGTAAATCACTTCCAGCCTACAATCTCTTTCTCTCCAATATATACACTTTTCTCATACAAATATAAAACAAATTGCACCAGAGTCAGCCTCTGACCAACATAACAAAATTCAATTTCCCTGAGGTCAGAATCAAGATTGATGACTGAATGCTCACACACACAAAAAGTCTTCCAGATAGAAGTTCATAGCCACAGGAGTGGTGAAGCTTTACTTTTCTAGTTCACCTTGAAAGGTTACTTAAAAATCAGCATAACAGCTACCATTTCAAAATACGTTCTTTAACTATCCAATGAAATATTTTCAAATTTGAGTGGTTAGATAACTTTCAAGTATCATTTAATGACTTAAAAACAGTCCAGAGTATTGTAAAAAGACAATCTGTCTCTTCAGAAGAAATGGTCATTCTTCATCTTTGCATATGTCACTATTTGGTGTTTCATTGCTGGGTATATTCATGGTGAAAGAGAATGGAATAGCTTTCCAATACTTGGAATTTCTTGGACTCCTCAGCTTTCACTGATAAGTGCTTTCCATTATTATTACAAAATTCCTGAGATGATCATCTTGCAAAGAAGGTTCAATCTTGGAGGTCTCAGTCTCTGACCACTGGCTCTGTGACTTTAGGCCTGTGATAAGGCAACACATTATGGTGGGACTGTGGGGTGGACAGGAGCCTTTTACCTTATCAGGGACCAGAGAACAAAAGAGAGGAATAAGGGCTGGGAAGGTGGCTCAGTGGTAGAGAGCTTGCCTTGCAATGCATGAGGCCCTGGGTTCGATTCCCCAGCACCACATAAGCAAAAAGAAAAAAGCCGGAAGTGGCGCTGTGGCGCAAGAGGTAGAGTGCTAGCCTTGAGCTGAAGAGCCGAGGGACAGCACCCAGGCCCAGAGTTCAGGCTCCACAACTGGACCCCCCCCCCCAAAAAAAAAGAGAGGAATAAGAAGGGACCAGAGTGCCATATACCCTTCAAGGGCATGCCCCTAGTGACATAAGGGCCACCTCTCAAGGCCCAATCTTTAACACGTGGGCTTTCAGAAGACACTCAATATCCAAGAGGTAGCAGATGCTAGGTCTGCCCATATAACCAGCAAGTGGCAGAAGGACATATAAGCATGATCTTTCTGGAAAGCAACTAGACAGTATATCTTTAGTCTTAAAACTGTTCATAATTTTGGATTCAATAATTCCACCTCTAAAGGGAATAATCAGAGATTTTCCAGATAGTCACAAAGTCATAAGATTTCATTCCAGAACTGCTGGTTAAGCAGAAGAACTAGGGTATGGAAACATAAATTTTAGTATAACCATATGGAATAGTAGGTAAGAATTACACTGAAGATTTTTTTGATGACAACGATGATAATGATGATGATGATGATGATGATGTAGTAGTAGTAGTAGTAGTAGTAGGTGCAAAGGGATTATAAATCCATAAGTCAGGTGATAAATACAGTGTTTCTTGGTCAACATCACCCCTTCCTTCATTCTACACTTAAGCTTTTGAAAAAGTTAATAACACATGAGCCAAGATTATATAACACAGTATTTTCACCAGGGTCTTATGCAGAACAAACTTGTAAGATGCTTATTTGAAAAGAAGATACCCTGGTAAATATAGCCTTAAGAAACACAGCATGTAATAATGCTTAGTAAGAAGCTTGCAAAGTTATCATTACATTCAAGGCACTGTAGAAATGAAACTTATTT